TTCTTCCTGTTTTTACTCACCAGACGTGGCGGAACCGTGGTCGGTTCGAGTCGAAGCGTTTCGAGTCCGGAGCAGAACAAAACCCGTTGAATCCAACTGTTTATTACGGAGCTCCAGTTTTTACCTGCGGACCCAGAGAGCCGAGGATCCGACGGCTCTGCGGTCACGTGACCAAAGCAGGAAGTGAACAAACCCCATCAGCCAATCAGAGCGGAGCTGCCCTCCCGCTGATCCAATCTGTTAACTACATGTTCGCTACATTAAATAATTAATTAAACCTTTATTTCTGCAAGTTAGTCTCATTGAGCCTCGAGGACTCGTTTACAAGAGAGACCTGGTTCAAATAAAAGCACAAAAGATGAACAAACAACAACACACAATAATATAAATAATATAAAAAGCATATAAATAAATATAGGTTAATAGGTTAATATCATGATGCTTGCAGAATAATCCAGGTAGAAAAATCTAAAAAAGTTAAATCTGGTCCTCTGGTCCAGATTTAACTTTTTTAGATAGTTTAATATCAAATGAAAAAGTAAAAAAAAGAAATGAAATAAAAACCAAACAAAAAGCGCTACATTATAAAGCGTAAAACTTTCTTCCAATAAAGGAGGTTTTGTTTTGTGTTGTTTTTTTGTTTGTTACAACTCAAGTTTTACAGATTATTATTATTATTATTTTTATAAAATTCTCTCTCACAGAGCAAAGTCTTTTTACAACTGAGTGCAGTAATAATTGGATAAAACTGGATCACCTGTGAGGACAGCCAGGTGTTTTCTGGATTGTGTTGTGTATACTGTATATCTACATTAAACACAATGTTTATGTTGTTACTTGTAAGTAAAGTGTGTCGTGTGAGGATTTCTGAAGGTCAGTAGCAGGTAGGCATCCGAAGGGTTGATATGCTCTTGGCAAGATATTTTTACTACAAATTCCTAAAAATTAAACAACACAAATAAAGTAAAAACAAAGTACAAAACATTAAATATCCTAGGTCAAACTGTAAAATCAAACATGAAGTTTCTTGAACTTCATCAGAAGGTAGTGTACGGTTTATTTTGTTACTTCATGCGGGTACTCACTGGATGTAAACAAAGCACTCGGCTGAATCAAACCGTGTCTTAAAGTTTTAGACAAGTTTTCGACGTACATCAGTCGATGTTTGTTGGCAAATGTTTCCACCGGTAAACAAATGTGTCGTAGCTGGCATCCAGCTGTAAACGTTACTAAATGTTAATGTAAGGACACGTTACTCATCGACATGAGAACATTGTATTACCCTAGGAGTTTCTTTTGTCCAGTTTTTAATAACGTTGCCACAAATATCTTTAAATTTGTTTTTAAAAAGGGGTCATGCTGTATGTGTTTCAAGATGATAATTCTCTACGATCTATTTCATAAGTTTGTTATTCAGTCATGTCTTTCTTTGCTTTGAACGCTCCTCTACTGAACTAACCTTCAAACTGCAGCTCATTTCTTGCAGATTCCTCCGGTGACCTCTGACCTCGCTCAAATCATTCGTCAGCCTCCGGTGACCTCTGACCTTGCTCAA